ATGAACTGTTCGAGCTCCTCGTGGGAGCACGAGGCGGCGCCGATACAGTCATCAATGTAACGGAGGAAGAGGTGGGGTTTAGGGCCGGTGTAGGTACGGAAGAGGGATTGTTCCACGTAACCTACAAAGAGGCAGGCGTAGCTTGGGCCCATGCGGGTACCCATACTACGCTGAGCTCCTCTGAACCCACAACAGGGGTGCAAATTGTCTGGACACACAGCTCCTATATTTCCTATGTATCACTGACCTTCACTGGTTTATTTTCCAAATTGTAAACAAATTCCTTACTTGGTTTTTCTAAAAAAAAATTGTAAAGCAGTGTCCTTTGTTTCCCATTTTCATTCCTCAGTCTAAAAATAAAAAAAAGTGTAACCTTTGCTACAGTCATAAACCATTTATTCCCTTTTAGTGTGATGACACCAAGATAATAGAAGGATTGCCATTCTCATGCCCAGGTTTCCTGATTAATTAATTATTTCATATTCTCTCTCTCACTCACTCTCACTCTCACTCTCTCTCTCTCTCTCTCCCACCCCCTTCTCTAAGTAAAAAACCGAAAATCCCCATGATCTAGCTTCTCTCCTTCCCCTTTCTATATATATTGTTCAATCTGAAAGTCACTGTTGAAAATAAAAGGGGGAAATCCATCTTCGAGGCACCAAAGGAACAAATCCTCACTCAGTGAATGTAAGGCTGAAAGTTAGTGTATTCACAATCTTATGCCTTTGGAAAAGGACACAAAGGAGTCAAAAAGACCCAAAATAATAATAGTCACCAACATTTGTGATCCTGACTGGTGTCAACATTGTGCTTTTCTGACTCTCTATTTCATTTCACACCCATGGTATTTGTATAAAACTAAGAATTGCAGAAGCTTGAGATCTGAAACAAAAAACAGAAATTGCTGGAGAAACTCAGCAGGCCTGGCAGCATCTACAGGGAGAATGCAGAGTCAACATTTCGAGTCCAGTGAGTCTTCTTCAGAACAGATAACGAGTCACCGGACTCAACATTAACTTTACTTTCTCCACACAGGTGCTGCCAGACTGGCTGAGATTTTCCCAATAATTTCTGTTTTTATCTCAACATTTGTGCATTGTTTTGATTCCTTGTGCCTCTGATTGTATTTGTATGAAACTTTTTAAGAGAGCGGTAATGGAGTTATAGATTGAATTGCTAATGTGCCCATTTTTTCTGTCAGTTAATACCAATTGCAGTAATAGCGATTCTCTAGTTAATGGTAAAACCCTGGTGTGCATATTGGTTCATCCTGAATTAGGCAATTGGATAAAATTAGTCAATTTGGTGGTTTAATCAAATTTTCATCCTTGTGATAACTCTGGGAATAGTGGGGCTTGATTTGCAGTGCAGTACCCCAGTCGTATCAGAATCAACCACATTGCTATGAGTTTGGAGTCACATATAAAGTCAGACTATTTAAGGATGACATATTTCCTTCCCTAAGGATATTAGTGAATGACATTTGATTTTTATAGCAATCTTTTAATTTCATGGTCAACATTATTGATATTCGTTATTATTCCAAACAATTAATCAATTGAATTTTTTAAATCCTTTTGATGAGATTTAATTTCCATCTCTGTACCATCAGTCCAGTTCAATGACGTCAGAAGATACAAATTAAGTGCTGGATACCATTCAGCCCATCGAGCCTGCTTTCCCATTCAACGCAATGATCTTTGGTTTCAACTTCTCCTTCTCATCCACTTACCATATCCATTCATTTACCAAGATACCAAAAATCTATCTGTTTCAGCCTTAATTGTTTTCAATATTGGTACATCCACAGCCCTCTAGGCTAGAGAACTTCAAAGATTCACTGTCTCTTTAAGCGAAGAAAGTTCTCCTCATCTCAGTCCCAAATGTTTGGCCTCTTAGCCTTGGCCTAGATTCCCCAGCTAGTGGAAGCAACGTCTCTGTATCATAACCAGCATGCCTCTGATGCAATATCCCTCTGGCTACTGCTGGTTATGGATGCCAAGGAGACAGCACAGAGAACTTGTTCCTGGGCTGGTACTCTAGCTGTGACTACAGGCATTTGAGACACTTAAGCCAGATCACCTTTGTTCAGTTATTACATGAAATTTATTGGTAGCAGTTGGAGTTTAAGAAATAAAAAAAACCTCGAGAATCATTGAGGAATAGTATTTTTACAAATTGAAATGTGGTTTTCTGCAGAGGTTCTGGGGTTGGGTTTGCCTCTAAAGAAGGAATAAGTGATCACGCTGCCAAATGTGTTCAACTCGTCCTGCAGAAGTGTGGAGGTAAGGACCATCTGTGGCCAAAACTGTGATAGGAAGAAGCAAAGTATTTAAAGATAAGACTGTCTTCCTGGTATCCAGAAGCACTCACATACTGTGGTCACAACACATTACCTGCCCTGCCATCCTTTCCATTTGTTAACTTACTACTTTTACATAAATGGTTTATAAATAGCACCCTTTTACCCAGTAAATGTTATTATAGCAAGAAACTTCGCCAACACAAGTATAATATTCCAACTACGTTCATTTCGAAAGATAGGTGAACAAAAATACCTACCCATCAATCCCTTTTGTTTCCCTGTGACATCATTTTTGATTTTATCATTTCAGACTCAGCCACAGCTTCAACCCCATTCCAGTTCCTAATTCCAGCTCAATCCTAAATCCAGCTTGGCCCCAGCCCAGCAACCTGTTTATGAATTCTCCATCTGATTAATGTATTCTCCTTACTCCTGTTGAATGAGTCTCTCTGCATTCCTGCTATTGAACATACGTTGTTGAATGGACTCTAACTCCGCTCTCATGCTATTGAATGGACTCCCTCCGCACTTGTTCTGTAGAATAAACTCTCTGCTCTTGTTCTGTTGACTAGACTATCTCTGCTCTTGCCCATTCTGTTTAATGTATGAACTCTTAGTACTGTGCATTTTGTTCACTGGTAAAATTCCCCACTGTCATCAAAAATCCATGACACCTCAAGTCTTTCTCTACACTGTTTTAAAATAAATCACCATGGCTACAGAAAGTAGCTATGTGAGTAGCCAAGAGCTGGGGGTGTCAACACTATTGGAGGAGATGGAATTTAAGGAGCCTAGAAGGGCAGGAAACATGATGTGTAGATGAATGAATTAGTTGGGATGGGAAATCTCGATTTCCTGATGGTGCATTGAGATGCAGAGATTAAAATTGTGATTTTTTTGTTTTTGGAGTGGGTGCATACAAACAGGAGAAATCCCAACTCCTGGATGCCAACCTTTAAGAAAAGGCCACCAGCACTTTCCATTTTCAGCTGTGGGGGGGTGTGGGATTGGATTGGAAATCAGGTCATGCACCCGCAAAGAGCTGAGATGCTGCCAGTTCCTGAGGTGGTCTGGGCAAAAAACCTGCCCATTGGACCCTAGTACTGTGTCCGAAACTTAAAATAAAACAATAACATATAAAACATTCCTGTAGCCCTCACCCTTCACACCTCCGTTAATACACACTTCCCATGCCTCAGGCATGCCAACCCATTCCACCGAATGCCACCCACCCATTCCCATATAACCCCTCTTACCCCTATGCCAACTTTGTGCTGACTGGCCTACATCAACCTTTTCCCTCTTCACCAACCATACAAAGCTGCTATTATCCCCATATACCTGTGCACACAGGAGATAAAATGAAGTTCTATCACACGAAGTTCTGCATGACAGACTTCACTCTAATCAGAAAAGCAGTCTCATTCAGAAAAAAAAACATTTTCTCAGGTGTAGTTTTTAGCAATTCTTAACTTCTTGAGAGGTTGGCACTTATTTACACTCCTTCATGTGATGTAAGGTCTGCGATTTCTGTATATTTTAATATAATTTAACTTTGAATTTTTGAATTTGAATTTGTGCCACAAGGGTATTCTTTGTGTCTGAAGAAGTTTTTATGTTTAATTGTAAGTGTTTCTGTAACCATGGTGATTTATTTTAAAACAAAGTGTGAACAAAGACTTTCTGAAGAGTCATGGATTTTTGACATTGGGGAATTTTACCAGTGAGCAAAATAAAATGTTATGAGTTAGGCTCCAGTTTTGAAAGTTGAGGATTGTTTCTTCTTCTGTTTAAGCATAGCTTGAGGGAAGAAAGTTTCTTTAGTTTCAGTTTGGACTGTTCACCACAGTTCTTGTTTGAATCTGGAAGTATAAAGAAGTTGCTCCTGAAAAAGGGAGAAGATAATTTGCAATTGTTAAAATTAAGGTACCTCAGTGTCAGGAGTTAAACAAAAGTTCCAGAGCAGAAGTGTTTGGTTAAGAACCCAATGGGTTATTTGAAGCCAAAAATGCTCAAGTTCAGTTATACGAAGGTTCCAGGAAGAAATACCAGATTCTCAAAATTAGGAATTTAAGGCACAGTTATATTAAGCCCAATAGGTGTGATAGAGAGGGCAATGTTCTTTTATGTGAATTAAAGGGAGTGCTTTTGGGATTAATGAGATTATATTTTTATTGTGTATTTCTATTTCATATTCATTTTTTGTGCATAATAAACTTCTATTTTATTGTTAAAACCAAATCTGGAACATTGATTGTGTTTCAGTGAGAGATTACCTCTTTAAAATAAAAGAAAGATCAATTAAATCAGAGATAGTAGGAACTGCAGATGCTGGAGAATCCGAGACAACAAGGTGCAGAGCTGGATGAACACAGCAGGCCAAGCAGCATCATAGGAGCAGAAAGGCTGACGTTTCGGTCCAAGAATCTAGTCTACTGCATTCGCTGCTCACAATGTGGTCTCCTCTACATTGGGGAAACGACCGCTTTGCAGAGCATCTACGTTCTGCTCGCAGAAAAGACCCTGAGCTACCTGTTGCCTGCCACTTCAATGCACCACCTTGCTCTCTGGCCAACATCTCTGTCTCCAGCTTGCTACAGTGTCCCAGTGAAGCCCAGCGCAAGCTGGAGGAACAACACCTCATTTTCTACTTGGGGACCCTACAGCCCTCCGGACTCAATACTGAGTTCAATAATTTTAGGGCCTAAACTCTCCCATGTCCCAGCCCCCCACCCCACACACCAGGCCTTGTTACCACATAGCCTGCCACTACACACCCCCTGTTGTTAGTCACTAACGGTCCCCATTAACAACTACTCGCCCTCCCAGCCTGATCATTAGCAACTCCTTTGTCTGTCCAACTGTCTTTCTGTCTCTTTGAGCTCTATCCTATCGTTTACTCCCTACCCCAGCCACCTCCCTATTTTCTGCATATAAACTGACGTTTTCCCAGCCACCATTAGTTCTGAGGAAGGGTCACTGGACCCGAAACGTTAACTCTGTTTTCTCCTCCACAGATGCTGCCAGACCTGCTGAGCTTTTCCAGCAACTTTGTTTTTGTTCCTGATTTACAGCATCCGCAGTTCTTTTGGTTTTTATTTAGCTGGGATACAGCTAGAAATGAAGGGACTTGAATTGGAGGACAGACAGTCAGTGAGACTAAGGCCATAGAGTTAAGAAAACTTGAAAGGGAGATAAAAAGAGGAAGATGGAAATTGAGAAAACAAAAAAATGGAAGATAATGGAAATTGGGGAGAAAGAATAGCAGAGACGAATGGAAAAGAGATGGAATTTTTAGAAAACTTTAATTCTAAAGAGATAAGAAATGTAGACACCATGAGTTGGTCAAAGAAAAGTCTAGAATAAAGAAAGAAGGGATGGGAGCTAGGATGAGGATTCTCCTTCCACTGAAGGATTTGATTTAATTAAGAATCCATGTTTAGTGCCTACGTTTAATGAAGATGGAATGAAAACATATTTTACCTCATTTGAGATGGTAGTTTGATGGATGTCGTGTGGATCTTCATGTTATGGAGTGTGTTGTCAAATACATCTATGGCTATCTGCCAGTTCATTAGAAAAACAATGTTCAGAACAGGAAACATTCAAAGAAGAACACTCTTTGTCCTTTAAGGACATTAGTGAATCAGATGGGTGTTTCCCTCCGACGATCAACAACAGTTTCATGGTCATCATTAGATACTTAATTCCAGATTTTCATTGAATTCAAATTCCACTATCTACAAGGCAGGATTCAAGCCCAGGTCCCCAGAATATTACCTGGGTTTTTGCATTAACAGTTCATTTGATAATACCACTAGGCCATCGCCTCCCTATTACGAACACATGTCTAAAACTTATCAAGTAAAACTTAGGATTGCAGAGAAGAAACCTACTGCAGATTCTGAGTGTTTTATCACAAAAGGGAAGTTATTTCCTTCTGCTTAAAATCAATAAGATAAACCAAAAAGGAGATTGAAAGATACTGGAGCAAGTTAGTCACTGATGCTGTCTTATGATGCCCTTTGTCTTATGTTTGTTGTGAATGCTTCACCCTATCTTTTGCATTGTTGTACTGGACTTTCCCATCACTGAGGATGGGGATATTTATGGAGTCTTCTCCTCTAACGAGTTGTTTAATGTCCACCACGATTCACAATTGGATGTGGCAGAACTGCAGAGCTTAGATCCTATTTGTTGTTTGTAGGATAACTTAGCTCTGTCTATAACTCGCTTATAGTGTCTGACAGCCAAGTAGTCCTGTTTTGTAACTTCACCAGGTTGACACTTCATCTTTAGGTATGCCTGGTGCTGCTCCTGGCATGTCCTCCTGCACTCTTGAACAAGTTGGCCAGAGGAAAACACATGAAATCCCTGGATGGCATTCCCAACACCTGACCCTGAACTGTCTGCAACTTTGTGGGGAATGGGGTGGGTGAGACCGAGGGCTGCAATTTTGAGGCCAGTGGGAGGAGTTCTCAGACAAAGTGAAGCTTGGTGGGTCGTAAGGTGGGGAAGAGGTGGGTAGACATTTTCGTCACTGGCACTTTGCCCAGGGAACATCTCTCCTTCCTGGTCCAGTGCCCCTCTCCTCAATCGCCCGGACCTCATTCTATCCTGACTCCAAATCTGTGCTCCTTGGCTGACAACCAATCAGAGGGGCCTGTAGCTTTTTCAAGAAGACGTCCTCCTAAGTGAAGGGCAGAATTTCCACCTCCTGCTAACCCCTGGAGAGGTAAACGTGGGGTCTGGCATTTTAGCTGGCAGAGTGAGCAATCCCACTATCCAAAAAAGTCCTGCCCTGAAAGATTTTCTATTTTGGCCTTAGAATGTGGAGTATATGAGACGTCCTGATTTTGCGTAGGCGCTGAATGAATGTAAATCATCTTCTTCAAAGCTTTTCATAGAGAGCGCCGCTCAGGTGGGTCGGCAACTTAAGGCTGGTTGATGAGTGGCTGCAGAGTAAAGTGCCAGCTGTAACAGGTATACAGGGAGCTTTAATCTATGTTTAAAATGGCCGAATGTTCTCCCTGGCTCCTGGGAAGACACCATTCAAACCTGAAGTGGACAGTATCAGAAAATACAGGAAGACATTCATTATGAATATTCACTGAAGGAAAACGCAAAGTTGTCAAGTGTTGTGCAAGAGCTTTTGGACTCTGAGGCAACACTGTGATGGTGCCACTCATCTGCTCACTGGGCATAAATAGCACAGAGTGGGCAGAGTTAAGAAAGAAAGGGAGAAACATGTGGAGTGGACCAACCAGCACCAGGCAATAGAGCTTATGGAATAGTTTTTCAATAAGGTAAAGTATGGTTGGAGCCCGGTATGTCTTCGATTACCATGTTTCATCCCAATATGTAATAAACAGTATTACACAGAAACCCTAGCCTGAAAACAGTTCTTGACTTTGCTTTCTTTTCAACCAGTCTGTTTGAACCCAGACTCATGGATGTGGATGTAACACCATACAACAAATATAAAAATTGACCAGCACAGAGGTTGGTTCCTGTACGTTGCCTGTACTCATGACTGTAAACCAGAGATTATGGACTGTCATCCTGTCCAGGACAGAAACTCCTATTGTTCTGAAAGGTAGTGCATTGTTCATCAAAATGGAATGATGATTTTTGCTTCAAGTGCATTGCGTGTCAGGAGCCAAACTGTGCCAGGAGCAGAGTTGTGATATGCAATTGTAACTTGCGTCACATTCAAAGATCCAACTTTTATACAGTAATGACATATGATGTATCAGATGACAAACACAGTTGAATCATAATGGTGTTTAATGAGGTAATTTGAATACAGCAGGGACTTGCAGAACCTGAGCTTGGTGGCAACAAGAAAAATTATCGGCAGCAAAGTTAGGGGCCTCTTGCAGTGTACAGATTCTGTTTAAAAATCGTGTTCACTGGGCCAGATCTGGAGCAATGATCGTAGGGAACTCAAAGTGTCATCGCAGGAAGCCAGCAGTCACAGGAGGGTTATACCAATCATAGGAGCATCCAAAATCATCAACCTTGTAAAAATGAACAGCCAAGGGAGTGGTCTGGAAGCACAGGGTCACCAGAAACTGACCTCCCATGGAAACTAACCGTGGAACATTGACAAGATATTACTGATCCATAAGCTTTTAAGAGTAAGGAAGGGGATTCTGCTAAGCACCATTGTGGGTTAATTCATTTGCCCTCTCAAATACTGATGCAGACCATATCCCAGAAATTGACCCTAACAGTGCCATCAAAGGTAGTAGAAACCAGGAATTATCTTGTTGAGGGTGTTGGGCATAACTGAGTATTCTAAGCTAAGACTTTTGTTCAGTAAGGATATCAATGTGATATGGACCAATGGTGGGAAAATTGAAGTTTAGATACAAATAAACCATTTGAATGACAGGATGGACTCCTGGTCCAGTTATTAGAAAATGTAAGCCTTGGGTATATACAATACCTTTCATGACCTCCGGCTATCCCTGTGTTCTTTAGAGCCAATGACATTTTGAAGTGGGGTCACCGTTGCAATGTGGGAAATGTAGCAGCTAATGTACACACAGCCCGCTCCCACAAACAGCAGTGTGATAATGACTGAATGGTCTGGTGGTGATTGAGGAATAAATGAGAGTTTGGACATCAGGAATAATTCCCCTGCTCGTCTTTAAATTAGTACCGTGGGATCTAAAGCAGATAAGGCCTTTGTTCAACATTTTATTTGAAAGAGGGCATTTTCAACAGAGCAGCAGTACCTCACTGCTACACCAGTGAGTCTGCTTGAGTTTTGTGCTCCAGTCTTGGAGTTGGACTTCAACCTACAAATTACTGGTGCAGAGGCAGAGCTACAGCTATAGGAAAAATAAATTAAAATCCCCAATGTTGGCGTTTATTTCCACCACACAAGTTTGTACCTACCATAGCTACATGTCACAGGGTTTTCATCGCCAATTCTATGTTCCCTGCTCTTTTGAGGTTTCTGGTCTGCCATTGGTTTTCTCAGGTGCTGCATTTCTCAAACTGAGGCTGGGTTTACAATATGAAAAGGCAGTCATTCACATTCATGGAATGAGCAGAACATTAACATAGGAACATAGAAAATAGAATAAAGAATCAGCTGTTCAACGTGATCATAGCTGATCCTCTGTCTCAGCACCATGCTCCTGTGCTCTACACACATCCCTTGAAACCTTTGCCTCTAGAAATCTACCTATTTCTCTCTCGAACGTATTCAGTGACTTTGCCTCCACAGCCTTCCATGGTAGACAATTCCATAGGTTCACCACCCTTTAAGTGAAGAAATTCCACCTCACCTCAGTCTGAAATAGTTGATCATGTGATGGGATTAGTTGAGAGTATGGCTGGCACAGACATGCTGGGCCGAAGGGCCTGTTCCTGTGCTGTACTGTTCTATATTCTATGTATCCTGAAATTGTGACCATTGTTCTGAAGCAAATCAGTTTCCACGCACCATTTTGCTGAGGTTCTGCTACATTCGCAAATGATACACGATCCCAGACATCTGCCTCCCTTTGTTCTTTGATCCTTTCTTAACCAGTTAACCTCCTGGGTTATTCCCCACAGGTCACCCTGGCTCAGCAGAATTGTGGAAACTGCTCCGGGAAAATTCTGAAGCCAAGGTCGCACAGATGGATGCACAAATGTCCAAGGCGTTCAAAGTATGTATGTTCACAGTGGTCATTTCAGGTTGATTCTTGAGGAGCTTTGTTACTAATGTATCATTTGTTGCTGTTGACGTGGTCTTTTCTGAAGTGCTTTGAATGTGTCCTTAACGCAGTTCAGGTTTTAGAAATAAATGCACTGAAAGAGCAGAAAACACAGCAGTGACGTAGCAGAAGCTGTCAGCATTTGGACACTGTCCAAAGTCAAAGAATTCACACTTTGGTGTTTTCTTACATTGGATCTAAGAAGGTGCAAATTTTGCACCGGCATAATTCATAACTGAAAATTAAAACGATACCATTTAGGGCTGATGCCAGGAAGCACTTCTTCATGCAAGTGGAAAAAATCTTTTACCTGCATCTTCAATGATTAGTCTATCCACAAAGTACTCACTGCACTGTATTAATTCCTAGGTGCACTTGTCCATGCAAACATTTCTGTCCACTTGCGTGAATTATCCACCTAATATTACAGTTCCTGAGCTGTTAACTGTGATGCAGGTGCTCCTCCTTAAATATTATTCACAATATTTGACAAACATGCACTGAAGTTCTGAATGCTTTTATTAGTGTGTTTAAAAACTCTCAATGTTGATGCCTAAGGCACTCCCACTCAGCGAACCACACCCCTACAAACCGATACCACACCGAGCTCCACAGATTTCTACTGACTGCAGAGTGCCCTTCCAGTCAAATATGTATCTCTTTCCAAAATTCAATCTGAATCTCCATTGCTTGGAATTTCATGCAGGACTTTGTCAAATGCCTTTTGGAAATTTGCTACAAAAACTTGTAAGGCTCTGCCATATCCTCTCTCGATTTCTTCTGTGATTCTTTGAAAAAATTCAACCCAAGAGAAACTTAAGTTGTGTTTTAAGCATTGATGCTTTATATATAATATATAAGGGAACACTGCCTATGACTGTCCTCCAATAACGCATGGACCTGTCTGGAAAACAGCAGGTTAAAAATCAACCATTTTTCCATTCCTTCCTTTGATTCACAAACCATTTAACCATAAAATTTTTGACCGAGCTTCTCAGGTGAAGAGTTATATCGTGGGGCAGGATTAGCTTAATTCTAATTTTCTACCCATCCGTATTTCTTTGGGATGCACCTTGTACGTCTCCCAAATGTGAGTTTGCCGAGATTTGAAGCTCAATTTGAGGGGAAATCCCAAGTTGCCACTGAACAAAGCCATCTGTAACTCTATATCAATTTTATGTATATATTTATTCATTATGTATTTAATACAATCAGCTGAGCTCATGAAATGGCTCACTTACATTTGATAGAAAGAGAACACCTTCATACACAGGGACCCAAACACTCCAAATAAATAGAATATTCAAGCCTCGTGCTTTCTATGAATTATCTGGGAGCTTTCAGAGCATTACACATTACCAATTAGAGTCAACTTGCCAATCAGTCAGCGCCCTTTCTCTCCTACAACATGATCATTTGAAATTTGTCACTCTTGCATTTCTTCTTTTGAGGGCAAGGTGATAAGCTTTGGTAATATGTCTCTTCAGCAAGATTAAAGCCATTTATTTTCTTAAACCAATGACAATGTCAACACAGATGCCAACGTAAAGTTGGAATAAAGTGGGGAAAATGAAGATAAATATTTTTAAGACTTATTGAACTGCATCTCCGATCCAATGCTCCCATATCATGTTTCATCTTGTTTTGCTGTTCATAATCGCTTTTCTGTTTGTTTCCATATCTCAGCTCTATGCACAGACAAGAACAATTGAACGCATTTAAGAATATTATCTTCAAGAGTCTTGGAGAAATTCCGGTGATTCCCGGAATGAGACAAAAATCAAATTCTGTCAAATAAAATCATATAATGATACAGGATGAGGGCTTTTGGTCCATCTCACCTCTGCCAGTTCTTTGAAAGAGCAAACTAATTAGCCTTTTTTCTTCTTTTTCTTTCTTTAGCCAACTCCCTTTTGAAAATTATTGTTGAATCTGCCTCACTACCCTTTCAAACAATGTCCTAGATCCCGACAACTCAATGTAGAATGCATATTTTACTATTTTCTTTTTCTTAACCAATCACTTTGGATCTGTGTCCTTTGAATCCTGAGTTTTCTTCCATTCACTTTTTTGGCTTCCACCTACAATTCCCAGAGTTGGAAATATCAATGTCAAACTTGAAGAACTGAATGCTAATTTGGGCTGAATTTTCTCCACGTTGAAAATATTCACCCAGCTGTTTCTGGTTCCTCACCTCTGCTCACTTCCTCAGCCCTGGCTCCTGTCTTGATGGTGTACGGCAGGCAGCCAATCAGCACAACACCTCCATCATCACCTCACAGTTAGGGATGAGATGCTGGCTCAGAAGGCTGAAGGGAAAACCAAGAGTTAGAATATGAGGAATGCCAGGAGCCTTGACTGTAGCTTCAATGGGAATCCAGCTGCAGTTACTGGGATATGAGAGTCTCTAATGCAAGAGAGGAGAGAGATGAGGATGCTGTTTGAGATGCATTCTTTGAGAGACTGCTGCAAGGATAGGTCTATGCCTAGTATTGACTGTTTTGGTCTAGTTTTAGGCAAACGAGTGTCCCATGTCAAGTAGGTCTCAAGCCATTAGGTTCTCCCACTGTATGTTTGGCTCCTGTGAGTTAATCAGTCATGTTTTAATTGGTTTCCTATCACTGCCACTGGAAAAATGCCATCAGAAAACTGACATAGCAAATACGAGCAGGAGTAGGCCATTCGGCCCTTTTGAGCCTGATCTTCCGTCTCGTATGACCGTGGCTTATCCTCTAACTCAGTACCCTGTTCCTCATACCCCACATGCTGTCCCTGGTGGGAATTTGCCAGGCCCAGCACTCATTTCCGCCAAGTCTCTGAAAACTAAACAAAAAATCTAGTTCACTAATGCCTGTTAGGGGAAGAAACTGGCATCCTTAGCTGGTCTGGCTGACATGTGAATCCCAGACCAACTGTCATGCGGTTGACCCTTAACTGCTTTCTGGGCAGTTAGGGATAGGCAATGAACGTCAATGGATGCCCACATCCCATGAATGAATAACTTTTTTTTACCAAAAAAACTAAATAAAATCCGCAAGAACTGTGGATGCTCTAAAACAGAAACAGAAGTCAAAATTGCTGGAAAAGCTCAGCAGGTCTCATAGCATCTGTGGAGAGAAATCAGAGTTAATCTTTCAGGTTGAGTGACCCTTCCTCAGAACTGTTCTGAGGAAGGGTCACCAGATCCGAAATGTTAACTCTGATATCTCTCCACAGATGCTGTCAGACCTGCTGAGGTTTTCCAGCAATTTCTGTTCTTGATTTGAAAAAAATAAACTAGCTGCCCCTCCCAATTCCCTATTGTTTAATCCAGAAACGTATAACATTGGGTGAAATGATGTGATGTTATTCCTAAGAATTAATGAAAACATTGGATGGTCTGTTACAGTTCACTCAGAGTCTGAGTTGCTGTGGCAACATATACGTTCCCATGCATGTAGTAGCCTAGCGCTATGAATCAAGAGACCAGGAGTCCCAACTTATTTACGTCACATGACTGACCACAAATCACTGCCGCTGTTGCCACCTGCCCTTGACGTGTGTTGGAAAGATTTGCAGGTTGATGCTCAGTATGTTTGGCCATGTTATGTACACATCTTTGTTGGCCACCGAGTTATGGGATAGGACTCATTCCTGGAGTCTCTGGCTCAGAGACAGGGTTACACCCCATTGCACCACAAGCTTTGATCAGCCACAGTTGGAGTATGATATTGTGAAACAGTACATACCTTGCTGAATCTGGCTCCAGTAGGGCAAACACAAAACACTCAATATGAAGTTCACTTATCATTAAGTAGCTCGTGACTCGACTTGTAGAAACCAACTTGTCCCAACGGTTCTTGTGGCTGCTTAATGGCTGAAGCAAACATTATTATCGGAAGGCCCTTGGCACACTGCTCCTTCCTAGGTGTGTGTTTCCCATTTATTACAAAAGAGCTTGGAACAATGAGAGGCTGTGTGAGCTCAGTGAAGCTGAAAATAGCAGTCCTAAAAGAATGGACTGTTAAGAGTGTTCCATTCAAATAATCAGAAAGAGAGTTGGCACATGTATAATATGTGAAGATATCAAGTTTACTTTTTTTCTTTGTCTTGTTTCTGCTTCCCTAAAGGCAGTTTAAAACATCTAGAAAGGACATTCTTGGCAAAGTCACATTTATTACACAGCCATTATTGCACTGAAATGGTGGTGATGGTTCTTCTTGATCTACTGCAGTCCTTGTGATGCGGTGGCTTAGTTCGCTGGAGGATGGTAGCTGCCTAATACCTTGTTCAAACTCCATTCTTGCTGTATAAATTAACACTGAGAGGGAACGCTTGATAAGTACCAGAAAGAAGCCACTTGCTGAGGAAAAATGGAAAATGAAAAGAAAGGAAAATATAAATAAATTGATTGTATGTGAAAGACAACAGCATAATGTTAACCTCGTAGTTTATAGAAGATTCTGTTCTATTGAAGTTATTAACATTATTATTTTATTTTATTGTATTGACTAGTCTGCATTCAGCATCTACACAAGAGACCTTCGGATAAAACAGGATGCACATCAAAACCTCAACTGCTTAAGTGATGATTGGGTCAGTGATTAAAAATTCTTTGTTCATTTGCATTGTTATTTCCCTCATCAGTCTTTACTGTTAGGCAAGTAACCTGTTGCCTTTAGGAATCATCAGTTTCCTAAAGGCAAGCTTGCGGCATTTCACTGATAACAAGTAAGCATCCAGTGACAGTGAACTGCATAAATTAGTCAGGAATAAGGTTTAATTACACTTTTGAATTGAATCGGTTGTTCTCAAAAGGGTGGCTGTATTGAGCTACTTTTGACACCAGTGGCTAGGACAATCTTTCTACTTCCCACCATGAGAATAATAATCAACATCAAAGTGTAGCACATCAGTGGAAATTAACTGATACCAGCATCACGTTCAGCTGGTTGGTTCCTCTGACACTGTACAGTTCTCTCACAGTCAATCTGAAGGTTTAACCATAAGGATGCAGGGTGTATGAAACCCTGCATCAAGGGAGAGAGAAAGAAAAGGAAAAAATACTAGTGAGCATATGGAACTAATAATATAGTCTCCTTGTGTTTGACTCGCCAAGGAGCCCTAGCCTTCCTATTACATATATCTCAGAATTCCATACTGTTGCGATGCTGTTGCAAAACCAAATCTTGGATGGTCCAACTGATTAAGATGGTGACACACTGGGGATATCAAACGTTTCACCATAGGCTTGTGGGCCACAGCATTTGCAACAAATATAGTTTGGTCCAAGGCAAACACATGTATGGACAGTGTTTGAAGGTTGAACGGCTTCAGCTCAGAGTTTGAGCTAGAGGCTGAGCCAGCGACACTACAATGCATCAGGGAGGGAGAATGTTCCCTGGATTCTTTGTACCAGGAGGCAGTGACGCCGCTTAACAGTTAAGTCATCTAATCTGGCCAGTGTTTAGGAACTGGAGAGTATGACTGTGAGGGATGCAAGTAAAGGGAGCCAGAGCGCAGGAGCACAGGAGTCTCAGTCTGTGCAGTTGTCCAGCGGGTTTGAGGTTCTTTCACAAATAAACACAGAGAATGTTGCAGAAACACAGCAGGTCCGGCAGCATCAACGGAGAGAGAGAGAGAAAAACAGTTAACATTTTGAGTCTGGTATGACTCTTCTTCAGAACTTCTTTTTCCCGTCAGAATTCTGGAAAAAAGACATTAATTAACCAGATGGATTTTTACATGAATCAGTAATAGCTGTCATTGTTACTGAGTCATGCTTAATAAATTAAATTGGTGGTCATTGAACCCAAGCTCCCAGGTATTTAAACTGGTTATTATTAGTAATAACATTATCACTACACAGCCATAATTTCCATACCTATACATCTCACACCTGTGCTAAAGAGGTACCTTGTTACATTCAGAAAGACTGCTCTGTAAGATCTCATTTGAATGGAATGTACAGGGAGCTGAGAAATGTGCTGTCTGAAAGTTATAGAACAATCTGTATCAGATGCCAGTCTCCATGAGAGCTGAATGCTGGACAGTACTGAACATGGGAGTAAGTCCTTCTACTTGTGGGAACACACTATGCAATCTGATAACGGTGTTGTAACTGAATTGGCTTATTATTAACAGTGCAGAGGAAAGCAGGAGAACTAAATACTTTATTGTCTGTGCTCCTTTCATGTGAGTGCACAGTTATAGGATTTTCATTTTTGAGTTGAATATGCCACTCATTATAGAATTATTCACAATTACTTAGGGGATTGGAATGACCTCACTTCCTCAGTCAGTTTCCATCCACTGCCCAAAAGGATGCTGAGGGCAGGTTCAATTGTAAAGATTGTAGAAACTCATTTACCCAGGTCATCTGGTCTTCCATATCGTTGGAGACCAGACGTACCCTGACAGACCAATGACAGACCAATGTCAGATGCCTTGAGGTCCCTACACACTGGCTACACAATAATTGCTGGGATGTCTGCAAATCTGTGGAAGAAGCCTGCAGTCCGAGACTGTGGAGGGTTCTGACTTACCATAACAGTTGGGCAGGAAATGTTAGAGGAATTAAAACCTTCTCAGACTCTCAGACAGCCATAAAACTGCACCCGGACCCTTAATCACGCACACTGACCACCCCCTAACCTACCTCAAGCACCTAACTTGATCCCACCCCTGCCACGATGCCACCCATACCCCTTCTTCAACACATACTCCACCCCGACACATGACTGCACCCTCAAGATAACGAACTCACAGTATTCACGTGCATCACCGCACCCATGCATCTGTTACCTTACCCACCTGCCAACCTGCTTGCTGTTCCACCTACCACCCTTACTCCTTACCCACCTGCCACCCCATCCCCTGACTCATTTCACCCTTCCTCTCACCCGTCCTACCTGCTGATTCACATACTTAACACCGTGTCCCTTCACTCGCCTGGCAACCTACCACCTTACCCATCTGGTTCCCTACCCTCTTCCTTAGCCAGCTGACAACTTGCCTCCTTAACTCACCTGCTGCCCAACCCAACCCAACCCCCCCCCCGCCCCCCTGTGCCCCATCTATCCTCTTGCTATCCTACAATTCACCCGTCTACCTGTTATCCCACCTCCACATTCATGAACCTGATACCACACCCCCTCACTCACTTGGTAACTTACCTTACGCCATTACCTGGCCACTTGTCACCCCACTCAAGAATTCATTGCCCTGCCACCTTCTCCCCTTATGTACCCATCCGTCTTACCCTCATATCCACCTACCGCACACATTAGCCTTCTTTCTGTAGCTTGTCAAAGAAGCATTTGGAACTGTGTTTATTTAAAACATGGCAGCTATTGATTTAGAAATGGGGTATGGCATCTGTGTAGATTAGCTCTGATGCTGCCCGTGTGGTTTGCTGGGCAGTGGCTGGTGAAGTGAGTCCTGCATTAGAAGTTGTGCCCAAAAACATCATAGAGTAGAAAATATATTCTTGTCTAACCTGGATCAGAAACAGAGATTCCAACCCACATTGGAAAATTTGGGCCAATTTGCTGGGACATGCAGAGTAAATGGTTAATACTTGAACATATAAATAATGTGACCTCAGTTGTGATGTAAGAGATCACATGATGATGGAGGCTTTCTAGACAGACCTGAACAGTCTAGGCCTTGTGCTTGCTTCAACAGCTCATAGAGTGTAAACAGTTACCTCCAGAAGACCTTGGACCCAAGCCAATTCTCTGTATTAATTAACCTCCTCCAAGACTGCCACCAGAATAAGAGTCACATTCAAAGGAAAATTGGATAAATACCTTCCACTCCATTTGCTTTGCCAATTACAGGGAAAGTAACTGGAGAGCAATCTCCAAGAAAGCTCTCTCAAACCTCTCAATCTCCATTGCGCGGAGGAGAATGAGCCTGGTTTCTCCAGTCAAATATTGTTGCTAAAACCCTTCCTCTATGGAAACATTCCAGTAAATCTACCCCTCACCCTCTTGAAGACCCTTACATTCTTCCCAAAGTGTGTTGATCAAAACTGAATGTAAAACTAGTGGCCTGATCAGATCTTCGTAAAAGGTTCGTAAAAGGTTCATAATAACTTCCTTGCACTCAGGCACTCGATACTTCTAATTATGAAGTGCAAGATCTGATATCGTTTACTAACTTAACTGGCTCACACAGGCATGATGTATTGAGACGGTCTTCAGCTGTACTCTGTGATTCCAAGAACTGGCAGCGAAAGCAAAATAAGCATCTCAAGAATGTGCCAAATTCCAAAGAGTACATTTTTCTCTTCTCCTCTTACCTTATGACAAGGGTATAATTGTGTTCATTGTGTAATCACTGCAGATACTTCAGACAAATGATCAGCCTTCACTACAGGCTGAAGAGTTTTGCAGGTTATTGTTAAATCAACTACCAGATGATGCAGGAGATCAGACGATGGTCAGAAGCCCTTTAATCTTAGTCTGAAAACAGTGTTTTGTTCACTGAATTGACTGAGAAGACTGTCACCTTTGGGGGATTAGCACTAATTTACTGGACTGAACCAGCACTACAAGGGTTGAGTTATGATAACAGGTTAGAGAGACTAATTTTGCAGTCCCTCAAGTGCAGAAATGTCCACTGTGAGCTAATGGAAATAGTAAAGGTTAATAGAGCAGCTCACTTGTTAGCAAAAAAAAAAATTCTTTCGGATAGAGAGTTCACATAAAGGGGCATAGCCTCAAAATTGGGTCCTTGTACGGTGAGTCCACAAAGAACTGCTTCACTCAATAATGAAAATCTGGGATTTTCTCCATCAAAAAGCTGTTGAGCTTCTTCAAATTTGAAAACTTAATCCTGATAGCAATAGATATGTAATGGATACAGGACAGACTAGTCTAAATAGAGATGAGATACAGGTCAGCCACGATGAACCGGGATGTTGGAATGGGTTCAAGGGGCTGAACAGCCTCATCCTGTCCCTCCTTTCCTGTTCACTTACATTTCTGGGAGCATAATCCACAGAAAACTGAACAGATAGTAACCACTTCCCACCCCTTCATTCTTAACAGGAGGAGGATTTTCGGAACCTGCACCAAGCCCAGTTTCAAAAATGTGTTCAGCACTTGAGAAACAGCCTGGGCCTAATGAGCCGAGCATCTGAGACCAACCAGGAGAGAGCCGCTGCTGTCATTGCCAATAATCCAATTCCTGACCTCAATGACCTGGATGGAAAAGACTCCCCAATGCGCTTCCTAAGCAAACCTCCAGCCAAGGTAACTTTTGTAATAACAGCAACATCATACAAAGAAAGTATTATGTTGTAAAGAAACTTATTTTTCTCATGCCTAAGCAATTTCTTTTTGAAATCAATGACTGCCTCCAACCCTTCACCCTCGTACACGGTTACCACAAGCTGTGCGATACTGTTTTTCCTCAGATTCTCCTGTCAAATCTGTGTATCCTAGTTCTTCTATTACTGGTTACAGTATTTAGAGTAATGTTTCCCTGTTTAACTTTTACATAGTCTTGTACCTTTATTGAAACACCCCTCAATCTCCATTGCTCTGAGGAGAACAGTCCCAGTTTTCCCAGCCAGATATTGTTACTAAAACCCCTCGTCCGTGGAAACATTCCAGTGATCTTCCTCTCCCGCTCTTGAGGACCATCACATCTAGGTCAGCATGGTGGCTCAGTGGTTAGCACTGCTGCCGCACAGCGCCAGGGATCTGGGTTCGATTCCACCCTCTGGCGACTGTCTGTGTGGAGTTTGCACGTTCTCCCCATGTCTGTGTGTGTTTCCTCTGGGTGCCCTGGTTTCCTCCCACAGTCCAAAGATGTGCATGCTAGGTGGATTGGCCATTCTAAATTGCCTGTAGTATTCAGGGATATGTAGATTAGGTGGGTTATAGCGGGGTGGGTCTGGATAGAATGCTCTGAGATTCGGTGTGGACTTGTTGGGCCGAAGGGCCTGTTTCCAGACTGTAGGGGTTCTATGATCTAAGATCTATGAAAACTGGATGTAATACCAATGGCCTAATCAGAGCTTTGTAACAGATTCATAATAACTTTCTTTTGCTCAGGCTCTCAACATCTCCAATTATGAAGTGCAAGATCTGACATCCTTTGCTAGCCTACTGTCTCACACGTCCCGTCACCCACAAAGACCTCATCACACGAATCAACAGGTTCTCTGTCCCTTCACATTCTTTAGAACTATCTTATTAAGTCTATACTGTTGTCTCTACCTCTTCTACTAAAGTGCTTCACGCTATGGTCCTCGGAACTAAATTCTATCATCTCAGACAGAAAAACATTTAGTATGACTCATTGTTGACTGTATGTATTCCAATTTCCTTTATCCACATTAACCATGACCCACTTCAACATTGCTAGTTTTTAAGCAATATTGCTATTCCATGCCAAGGAGCTTGGTCATTAATCTTGGTCTCTCAAAAGCAAAAGGAATTTGCCTGAAGGTTTTAGTGGAAAGAAGTTTTGATAGTCATTCTCTCAGGCTGTGTTTATAGACACCACAGGTATATGCCCCACTTAAATTCACACACTCAACTTCTCATTCTATATTTTAATTTACTGCTGCATTTGAGATTGCTGCTGTAATTTGAGTAATAAACATCTGTTAGAATGAGCTGGGGAATGTATGCGGAGAGGTTTACTCTTACATTAATTTCCTGTTGCCACTTTAAATTTTGTCAGTAGCTTCTATTCTTGGTAGCTGGTCCAAGCTGCTTAAATTGCATTTGCTTGGTTTGTGAGTGGTCTGTGGAAGAACTAAATATCTGTGAATAACTTTAAAATGTGATTTTGTCCATTTTTACAGTAACTACTGTAATTTGCATTATAATGAAATGAGGGTACAAATCCCAGGAGTGTTGAGATTGTACAGTAGGGGTCCATGTTCAAGCCGATGAATAGGAATCTTTTGTTAACTCCGTAGGAGTTAGGTTGGAGAAAGCATTTCTAGAATCTTGCTGGTTCAGTCCTAATTCCAAACGTGTCCAGATGTCAGCAGGCAACACTGATGGTATATACTATTCCTTAGCATAATGGGACTTAATCATTATCTTACACAGCCAGTCTCTCAGTTCTCCAGTGCTGCACTTGAAGAGATCCTCACATCTTCCAGCACAAGGCCCAGCCAAAGAGCTGGGAGGTCAGTCTCTGTCTGAAGATCCTCATGGATGTGCAAATGGCCCAAGGCAGGAGAAAGGCAGGTGATGTTCCCCCACGAGCACCTCGCTCCTGCCTGGTACTCCATCCAAACAAAGAGGCTGTCTGCAGGATTTCAGACCCCAAATGCATGGCTCTTGTGTATGTGCTCAGAAATCGCGTGGGCTCCTTGTGGACTCCAGCTGCATATCCAATAGGAGTTGGCCTGAACAGCTACAAACTCCCCCAACACTGGGAAGAACTAATGTCCAGATGAATGCAGGAGTTTTCAGTAGACTTGCGTAATTAGTTGGTTGAAGGTCCATGAGAGCATAGGGAATAGAAACAGGAGTATGCCATTTGGCCTCTTAAGCCTGCCCACCCCATCAACAAGGTCAATCCTCTTGCATTGCCATGAACTCCCTCGTATTTCAAACATCAATCCTTCTGTTTAAATACTTTGTGATCTAGCCTCCACGACTTTCCACGATAGAGAATTCCAGACATTCACTACCCTCTGGGAGAAAAAAATTCCCTTGATTTCTCAGTTTTAAATATTCTGTAACTATGTCCCCTACTTTGAGATTCCCCCTGCTGGTGGAAACATCTTCTCAACATCTACTCTGTCAAGCCTCTTCAGAACCTTCTACATTTCAATAGAATCACGGCACATTCTTCTAAACTCTAATGAGTAAAGACCTAATCTATTTAGCTGTTCTTGATAAGCCAATCTCTCCATCCCAGGAATCAGCCAAGGGAAGCTGGTTTGAACAGCCTCCAATGCCAGTAAATCCTTTTTAAATACAGGGACCAAAACTGTACTCCAGGTGTGAGCCTCACCGACAACCTGTACGGTTGTAACAAGCCTTCCTGCTTTTAAAACTCCATCTCCTTAGCAATAAAGGCCAAAATTTCATTTGCTGCCTTAGGTAGGAGCTGTCTAATCTGACATTTGCCACATCTTCGGCCCTCAAGGTGTCCCATTAGATTGGGAGACCCAGAGAAAAAAATGCATTCTGAGGTTGGCTTCACTGGGAAGGCTGGTTCAAAGCCAGAAAATCTGCCCAGGTCACTGAAGGCAGGCTCAATTAATATGCTCATGCAGATGCCTACTAAGACCTGGCACAACTTACCATCGTTGCATCTTGTCACACATTTTCCATTCCCAGGAAGCATTTCAAAAGCTATTCATCCTTTGATTTGGACAGGCTTTCCTACTGCAGCCATTGGCATAAACAAGCTGCTGATTAACCCATAGTCCTGCCTTCTCCCAAAATCAAAGCCCCCAGGACATATTGAGTTCTCTGCAACTATTCCTCTTTGCTTAAGTTTGCAAGTGCACCATGGCTCAACGGTTAGCAGCGCCAGGGACCCGGGTTCGATTCCACCCTCGGGCGACTGTCTGTGTAGAATTTGCACGTTCTCCCCGTGTCTGCGTGGGTTTTCTCCGGGTGCTCCAGTTTCCTCCCACAGTCCAAAGATGTGCAGGTTAGGTGGATTGGCCGTGGGAAATTGCCCGTAGAGTTCAGAGGGTGGGTCTGGGTGGGATACTCTTCGGAGGGGTGTTGTGGACTTGCTGGGCTGAATGGCCTATTTCCACACTGTCGGGATTCTGTGAAGTTAATAGGGAATGTTTGCATTCATAGAATCAACTGATTCAGAGTGATGCACAGAGCATGCCTGGGTGGCCTGAGGGAAAAACCAGTAAGCTTTTCAAAAGCAGTAAGGCTTTTCCTCCTACAACTTTGTTAAGCTCCCCCACTAGATAGAATTCAGTCATTAAAATGCTGTCACATACTTGGAAAGACAGGGTGTTGATAATAGACCTGGAGCTCTCTGCACTTACAAGATTTCAAAACGAAGCTAAGTGCCTGTCTAGCAACTATTCATCAGCTATTACTCTGAAACTGGTATCTGGCATGCTCCAGCACAAACTCTGAATAATCTGAACTTCAGTTTACAATAGCATTTGGAGAAACAGAGATACAGAACTGTACAATGTACACAATGTTTCTGTCGTTAGAACATCTAATTTAGTGCAAGCTTTACCATGAAAGGAGATTGTGGTTCAGTGGGGAGCACACTCAACCTGAAGGTTGTGGCCAAGCTCCCCCCTCCCACAATGGGGAGTTTAGCACACAAACCAGGCTGATAGTTCCTGTGCATTACCAAAGGAGTGCTGCATTGACAAAGTTGCTGCCTTTTGACTATGGCTCCATCTGTCCTCTCAAGTGAACATCAGTGACCCCATGGCACTGTTTCAAAGGATGACCCAAGTGATATTGGATTACTGTTTATAAAAGTGTTACTGTTTGCAACTTAGTTGCTACATTTCCTTTGTAACAACTATACTTCAAGAACACTTCTATGTGTGTAAAGCACTTTTGGGTGCTGGGTAAATGCAAAACATTTTTACAGCACAATAATTTTGTTGCTTTTTACGGCTAAAAGGATGTCTGCCTATTTTAGCTGTAGCAATGAAGGAGCACAGCAGGTCAGGCAGCATCGGAGGAGCAGAAAAGTCGACGTTTTGGGCCTAGAACTTTGTTCAGGACTGGGGAGGGGGAAGGGAGCTGGAAAATGAAAAGAAGGAAGAGGGGTGGGGCTGAGGGAAGGTAGGTGGGATGGCAATAGGTGCATGCAGGTAGGGGTAATGGAGATTGGTCAGTGGGAAGGGTGGGGCGGCTGGGGGGAAAGAAGATGGACAGGTAGTGTCAGGTCAAGGAGGTGGGAATGAGAGGGAGGTTTGGACATGGTTTGAGACTGGGGGTGGGGAGATTTTAAAACTGGTGAACTCTATGTTTAGGCCATTGGGCTGTAGGCTCCAGAGGCAAAATATGAGGTGTTCCTCCTCCAGTTTGCATGTGGCGTCATTGTGGCACTGAAGGAGGCCCAGGATGGACATGTCACCCAGGGAGTGGGAGGGGGAGTTAAAAATGGTTAGTGACTGGAAGGTGTTGTCGATTATGCCATACAGAGCGCCGGCGCTAGCTATCTCCAAATGGATGAATAGACACCACAAAATGTTCAGTGTAACACATCTGGTTTTAGATAAAGGTTGAGAGTTGCTGTGATGCACTTCTGTTCTGGACACCATGTTTTATGCAATTGTAAAGATTAATTGTACCTCAGCTTCAGAACTTTTTTTGTCTCCGCAGCTAAAATACCCAGTGAGAAAACAAATAATCCTGCCTCCCCTGAAACAACGTAGGCAGCAATCTGCTGATATTTCAAGAACCAGCAAGCAGGAAGAGCAGGGAACCTTGCGAGAAAAGTTAGTATTAAATGAAGAACTGCGGATGCTGGGTATCTGAACGAAAGACAGAAATTGCTGGCAAAACTCAGCAGGTCCGGCAGCATCTGTTGGAAGAAAGCAGAGTTAACGTTTTGAGTCCAGTGACCCTTCATCAGACTCTTTATCTTCTGATGAAGCGTTATTAGGACTCAAAAGGTTAACTCTGCTTTCTTCCCACAGATTCTGCTGGACTTGCCGCGTTTCTCCAGCAATTTCTGACTTTGTGTGAGAGACGTTAGTACTTCCTTTCCTGTATTGTCAATACAGTGAGAGTTAAAACAAGAACATCATTGCATAACAACAGAATTGTTGCAGCACAGATAAAACGCAGGCCATTCAACCCGTCAAATTTGTACCAGCTTCTTTAATGAGCAATTTCCCTCATATCATTCTGCTGCCTTCTCCCTTAACCCTGCACATTCATCCTTTTCAGATAATCAACTCATTCACTTTGGTTTGCCCTGATTGAATAAGCTGCCATCCTACGCTCAGGCAGTGCAATCAGGACTAAGACCACTTGTTGCAATGCTTTCCCTATGTCACTTTTGTATAACTACCTGTTTGGTCCAAAATGGCTTTCTCCTGTCAATAATCTGAGGTATTGGAGTTAATTAGGTAGAAGGAAAACTGTTAAAGTCAGGGAAAAAGGAATTTGTGCCTCTGTACTGAGAATTACCCTGGACACATTACTCTGGACACATTACCCGGATTGAATCTAATGTTCAGCATTTCAGAGGTGGTCAGTTGCAGAAATAGTATCCCACTGGTCTGCATTCTCTCTCCTTACTGTGTTAATTATAACAATGGTAATGCCCCAAGAATCAGGATCTTAAAACCAGATAAAGAATTACAAAACATTCTTTAAAAGTCAGACCATAAATTGGGATATCAACAGCTAACCTGGTGCCCAATTTGACGTTCCCATGGTGAGACTGTAACATAAAGATAATAGTTTCTCAGAGCAGTTCTGTGGGTCATGAATGATGTTATTTTTTGAATCACACCTGGATAAACTAAGAACAGCTGAGTTTAGATTAATAAAAAGGGCAGCCAGTGATATGGTGGCAGTGTTGCTATATTCGTAATCCAGGGTTCTAAAGAAGGGTCATTGGACTCGAAACGTTAACGCTGTTTTCTCTCCACAGATGCTGTAAGATCTGCTGAGTCTCTCCAGCAATTTCTGCTTCTGTTTTGTTTTAGCAATCCAGATGCCCTAACTAATGGTCCGGGGCATGGCAGCTGGTAGAATTTAAATTAAATTTAGAAATCTGGAATATAATGGTGACCACGAAGCTAATATCGTTTGTTGTAAAACTCATTGAGGTTCACCGATATCCTACAGGAAAGGAAATTGTCATTTTTCCCTGGTCTGGATCCCAGACCCACAGCAATATGCTTGACTCTTAACTTCACTCTGAGATGGCCCTAACAAACCACTCAGTTCAATGATAATTAAGGATTGGCATCCCGCTAGCAACACCTAGATCTTGTGGAAGAATACAGCAAAAGAAAAGGTGATTTCTTTCAACAAGGGGGTGGTAGTATGAGCTGGCAAAATAAGAAATGAAGTCACCTGGCAATACACAAGCAATAATGGGTTAAATTTATAATGGGACTGTTAAAGTCACATTGTACTTTGATATTTAGATATCCTTGGCACAATGCAATAGTGTGTTCTTGGAATAGTAGAGACAACACAGTATGGAGCTGGAGCAGGCCAGGCCCATATCCCTCTAAACCTTTCCTATTCTTGTACCTGTCTAAATGTCTTTTAAATGTTGTAACTGTACCTGAATCTACCACTTCCTCTGGCAATGCATTCCATGCACAAACCACCCTCTGTGTGAAAATGTAGCCCCTCAGATCACTCTTAAATCTTTCTCTTCTCACCTTGAAATTATGTCCTCGAGTTTTTAACTATGTCCTGACATTTCCATCATCACACAGTTAGAAAGCTTTCAGAATATCAGTCACGCAGGACAGCATTTCTTTGATGAGAAAAATGCTGATACTTTTGACAGTGTGCTGGTGAGATAATCAAATGTACAATGAACTTCTTCTTAAATTTCAGGGCTCTGATAATTAAGGCTTCAAAGAAGGAATCAGCTTCCAATTTGTTGAGAAAGGAGTTTAAGAAAGTTGTGAAACCATCTTACCTACTGAGTTCCAAAGCGCCACCAATTAAACCAAGTAATGGCAAAAGCCAAAAATTATCTTAAAGTCTTAGAATACTAACACTAATAATAAGGCTAATAATTACTAATAATGTTGGAATTCATTAGATTAAATGGGAATGAATTATACGTATTTTAAATATGGTGCTGCCAATACTCAGGCTATCACCAATGATTTTGAAACATTCTTAAGGGGTTCATCAGGGTAAATTCTGGGAGGATGTTTCCCATCATGGGAGAGTCTAGGACCAGACAGCATAGTCTCAGAACATAAGGGTGTCAATTTCAGACTCAGATGAGGAAGAATTTCTTCTCTGAGGGTTGAGAGCCTTTGGAACTCCTTGCCAAACACAGCTGTAGGCATGGAGTCCTTGTATGTATTTAAGCCTGAGATAGATAGGTTCTTGATCAGTCGGGAAATCAAAGGGTTATGGTGAAAGGGCAGGCAAGTGGATGTCAGGAATTAACCATAGTTCTACTGAATAGCAGAGCAGGCTTGAGGTGCTGAATGGCCTATTCCTGTTCTCATTTCTTATAACCCTATTGGTGTTTGAGGTCCATGAGTCTTGAATGATCAAGAGCTATTTGCTTGATGTTATTCCAATTAATTCTAAGCAATAACACCACAGTGTAAATCTATGTTGTTTGTGAATATTGTTGGTGCTATAATTTCCAAATGAACTCCGGTGAAAAACCGATTTCATATGTGAATAATCTAATTTCTGGAATTAAAACTCTAATGACCAGTAGTCCATTGTCAATTGTTGCAAAAACCCATCTAGTTCAGTGAGGTCCTTTAGGAAAGGCCTGACCCGCATGCGACTCCAGACCCACAGCAATGTGACTGACCCTTAGCTGCCCTCTAAAACGGCCTAGCAAGCTGCTCCACTCAGTTGTATCCGAGGGCAACTAGGGATGGGTAATAAATGCTGGCCCGGCCAACAAGGCCACCATTCCCGTGAGTGGATTAAAACAAAATCGCTATGTACTACACAATATGGTGTCACGTTTTAGACACAACTCTAGGGAAATTCTAGCAACTCAGTTCATATAGAAAATAATTTTCTAACCCAGAGGAAGACTGGTGAATTTAGCAAACTTTCATGTAAAGTGCTCAAGGGTATCATGAATGGGAGATTGAGTGACAAAACAGTAATACAGTCTTCAAATTAGTTAACATTTAAAGAGCATAATCAATGAATTAGTCCTTAAGTTTAATTGTTTGGCTCAATTTTACAAGCTAACAAATCCAGGTTAGCTTTTAAACAGGGATATATGTTAAAGTATCTGGAGGGCAAAGTAATAAAATACAACTTAATTATGAATTATGAAGGCAGCAATGCACAAATGAGGAACTACTCAAACTAATGTAGACTTGGAAGTGGTTAAATAAGAGTGAGGCAATAGGTTCCAAACTGAAATGGGTGGCTATTTACTCTTTTGGCCCTTCTGGTTAGATAGTCCACGATACACCTGCAATCGGGCATTAGAGGATGGGACTGTCTGAAAACCTGCCTGATAAATAATATAATGACTCTACTGGACTGTTAAAAGAATACCCTCTCTGATATTGCAAACTGTTTTTCCGTGTAGTGGTTGACCCACATTGTGGACCTCACGCTGGGAATATACCAGAGTGTTTGGGGAGCAGGAAGTCTGATGTAAGCAGCTCCATTATTGATAGATAGGGTAAATTTATAAAAACATTGCTGCAAATCAAAACGAAAATTTTAATGGGCTTTCCAAAAGCTGCTACTATTTCTAACGTACATTCTGATGTTTGAGTAAAAAAGTATTTGCTAAGGCATGGTTGGTTCAATAAATGCATAGGTTGGATATTGAACCTGTGGGTAAATGGTGGAACAATCATCCCTGTGTGATGGGTGACAAAGCAGAGATGGTATTAAATAATTCTACTTTTAGACACAATCCACAGTCTTTAGTATGCCTAGAGGACGACAGAAGTGAAGGATGTGCAGTCACTGCCTCTCTACCTGTTGGTATCTACTCTCACACATCTATGGGTAGTGTTATGTATTGAGCAGGGGTTGGTTAGCTCAGTTAGCTGGATGGCTGGTTTTCAATGTGCATGTGTTCAATTGCCTCAGCAGCTAAGGCTACCAAGAACTCTTCTTCTCAACCTGTGCCTTTTCCCTGAGGACTGGTGACCCTCAACTTAAACTACCACCAGTCAATCTCTGTCTGATGAGTGAGCAGCCGATAGTCCAGTAAGGTTACGGCAACTTTACCTTGACATATCTAGCAGCAAGTGTGCAGGAATGCCCAAATGCAGAGCTGTGTCGTCTGTTGATGAATTACCTGAGATACCAGTCGGTCGGGGGTACTGGAGGAGACGGTCTTGAACTTGAACGTCTGACATTCCCTATGCTGCTCCTCCAAAGCAACAGAAGTGAAAGGGGATACTTTCAGGGGAAACTCATTGTCCTCCCGTTGTGGACTTCAAAAAATAAATGGCCAACATGTATGGCAGAAAGGTCCAGGACTTACAAAGTAGAAACAAAGAAGAAGTTTAAACAAGAAACAGGTAGCAAATTCAGAATTAAAACCAGAAGAACTGTGGATGCTATAAAGCAGAAACAAAAACAGAAACATTTCTAGCAATTTCTGTTTTTGTTGCTGTTGTAGTAAATTCAGAAATAGCCTCAAATTATTGCTACAAGCCTTGCTATCAGAGAAACAACATACTCTATTAGCAACAGACTGCTATTTACATGACTGGGCAGAAAACATGTACTATGGCACAAAATTGTATAGCATATTCAAAAGCATTGCTAATGTAACTAATTGTAAACTCAAGGCTGTGTCCAAGGTTAGTTTAAAACCCAACTGAAAATTGGATGGAGTACTCAACAGGCAAAGATCTGGTGTAGTGGGTCTCTGATCTTTTACTGCCTGGTCACACTCACTTTAAACAAATGGCTTAGAACTGGGAAGAAGAACTCACCCAGCCATTGATCCTGACAAGATCCATCAAATCATAGGGTCATTATGGTACGGAAGATGGTCATTTGGTCCATTGAGACGATGCCTACTGGAAGCTTTAATAATAATTTATGGTAAGTAAACAAATATTTACCAAAGTATGTTAATACTTACCAAAATTATGTCTTCAATATGTATCATTTTGTTTTTATTCTCTCAATTAAAAAAAATCTTCATGTGCTCTGGCTAAAGTATGTTCCCTTAAGCATCACAGGTCATTCATAGCTCACTGAAGTTACCACTCTTTACGTGCAGTCTGTGGGTGTGAATTTTGACAAGATATTCCAGAGTGGAAGGGTCAAGATCAGGATTAAACACAATGCTGTTCTATTTTGGTGACCAAACACTTAAATCAAGGCTTGCTGGATGGTTTCCCAGAACTCTGCTATAAACCTGGATGATTAAAGCGAACTACAAGAGATGCAATAATATCCCAATCATGTCCCCAGTCCAATCAGATAGCAGACTGGGAATCCAAGTATGCTTCTGTTATGTGTGGCTCAGCTATTAAAAGGATAATTGCCTGGAAGAAAGTTTTTTAACCTTATCAAATACATGCATGACCACAAGAAATACTGGAGCTCCATCATCTTAATTGGGTAGTGAACCCATCCAGCAACAACATTACAAATATAACACTTGAACTATTAACCGTGAGGTTCATGAATTATGGAAATTGGACTGTTATACATTCTTTTTCTTCACAGATTTCAGACATCACCTGTGAGAAGAGCTTTGACAGGAGTTTGGAGGGGAGGTTGCTCCTGGAGGTGGAATGGACTATCCACCTTCATGCTGAAGAAAGATGCTCTGACACTGTGATCAACATGATCTTCACTAAATCTATGGATGTTTGAGTGGCAGCATGATGTCTTGTGGGAGATGAACTCTGGTGGAGTTTCCGGTGGATGCATATTACATCAATAGCAAGAAAAAAAAATCCATAACTAGTGGGTCCCACAACATGTCAAAACTGTACCTTTCAATGGAAATTGTTGCATCCACTTTGCAAATATTTCCAAATCCTCAGCCTCTGATATGTGAAGTTAAGGTCATGCATGCACAGTTGGGGAGTGGAATGGAAGACTCTGAAGCGACAGAATACATGTTATCTATGATGCGCTCCTCATATTGATTGATTTTATTGTCACATACCGAAATACAGTGAAAAGCTTTGTTTACGAGCGGTACAGGCAGATAACAGGAAGCAAAGAATGTACAGATCACCACAAAAGACTTAGAGGTATACAGGTTATATTGCAGGTTACATTATTTGAGTCCATTCAACAGTCTGATAACGGCCGGAAAGAAGCTGTTCCTGAACCTGCTTCAGGCTTGTGTGTGTTCAGGCTTCTGTATCTTCTGCCTGAAGGAACAGGTTGAAGGAGGTCATTACCAGGGTGCGATGGGTCTTTGATGATGTTGGTTGCCTTTCCATGTCAGCGAGCTGTGTAAATAGAGTCCATGAGTGGAAGATTAGCTTCCGTGATGGCCTGGGCTGTGCACGCCACCTTCTGTAGTTTCTTACGGTCCTGGGTAGAGCAGTTGCCATACCAGGCTGTTATGCACCCGGACAGTATGCTTTCAATGGTGCATCTGTTGAAGTTGGTGAGGGATCTTATGGACATGCCAAATTTCCTGAGCCACCTGAGCATGAAGAAGCGTTATTGTGCCTTCTTGACTGTCGCATTTACATGGGAAGCTCAGGACAGGTCGTCGGTTACCATCACTCCGAGGAACTCGATGCTGTCCACCCTCTCAACCTTCAGCTCCATTGATGTAGATGGGGGAGAGTTGTCCTCCTTTCTTTCTGAAATCGATGATCAGTGCTTTAGTTTTCATTGCACCATGTCTCCAAGCCCACTAGCTCTCTTCTATATTTTGACTCCTCGTTCTTAGATATCCGTCCAACTACGGTGGTGTCGTCGGCGAACTTGTAGATGGCATTGGTTCGGAATTTGGCCACACAGTTATAGGTGTACAGAGAGTATATTAGGAGTCCTGCATATCGAT